CACGCTGCTCGGTGCACACAAGTGAGAACCGAACAGCGTGCAGCACCGTGCGGTGCTAACCTGCTTGATCTTGCATCATTGCACTCCAGCATCCTCTTAATTCGTAACGCATGTACCAGACGGATCAGCAATTTTTCGAAAAAGTCTGAAATTGAAGCTTAAACTTTTATAGTAAAAACAAGATTTCCATTATTTTATTTACATTAAATAAATTTCTAATAAAATTTGACTTTTAATTTCAAAACATTGCCCATTCGTTTTTTTTCTTCTAGAATCGCACAAGGTTTTGCCCCTAAAAAAGTTAAATTCTCTAACTGAAAAAGGAACCATCGAACCCTATCTAAACAAAAAATATCTAGATAAAGACGTAATACAAATTTCCTTTGAAATTCCACAACACTGTTGCGTTCTGTAATGTGCATTATCATGCAATGCATCATGGGTTAGGTTTATTTATTTTTTGTTGACATCTTAGCTTTTTCAATGTTTTACAATATGATATAATGTTTATGAACATATCTGGCTGATAAAAAAAAGACAGAATGTGTATGGAATATAAAAACTCATCTAGGCTGAAAATAGTCTTTAGTAATTACAAAAAATAAATAAATGTATATACTAATAGTATTTTTACTTAATTTTGTAATAAATACATTTTTTTTTTTTATTGTATTTGTTTCTTTTTCAAGACAATTGTAATATCTTTAGTTCATTTTGTTAATATTAGTTTTATATAAATAAATAAATTTATATAATTATAATTACAGACATTTTTCTTTTGCTCCTTTACTTATCATATTATCAATCAATGCACGCAGATCTCGAAGAGCAATGTTGTAGACGACATAGTGGAATCCAACAAGATCCTCTACAAACCTGGAGAGAAACCAGACCATTGTATTGTCATCAAATATGTTCCTTACGTCGGTAAGTCTTTATTCTTTACATTACATCATTAATCATAACAATACACTTTTATGAATGAATTATGAATTGTCAATTATATTTCATTAGTCGTAATGATTGGACATGTTTACGCAATATTTTGCTATCTACGTGTCTGCTATTTGTAAACCTTGTTCTGCTTTGCTTTGTTTTCTTCTGATATATAGCTGGCGGAGAAATCATCTATTATTTGAATAAGCAATTTAACGCAAATAAATAAATAACGTTGAAAGAGACAAGATGTTCTAAGTCAAGAGACATCTGAGCCGCTCAGAAGCCAAAGTAACTAACTCTATTTTTTGCAATTTTTTGCAATTTTAATACCAAAATATATGATTGGTGCTAAACTTTTCAAAAATTAAATAAATTACTTTGATACTTCTATTTATCACTCCAAAACGGCCAAATTTTTTATTGCTAATAAATAATACATAAATTACTTCAGAAGCCATTGTGATTAACTCCATTTGACACTAATTTTTTATTTTTAATAAATTTCATAATTCTTAAAATGGCAAAAAATAATAATTTTGACATTCAAAATTATGAATCAGATAATTTCTCTTCAATAATAATTGTCAGTTCAAAGAAACGTTTTAGTATTTCTTCGGATCTGTCATTTGACTCCCTTCGTAAAATCCTTGGTGAAAATAATTTGTCGAAATTTATTATATCTAAAAATTGTTTTATTTATATCTTACCATTTGTGTCTTCTAATCAATGTCTTTCAATCATTTTTTATATATTTATTTTTTTATTTTTACTTATTGAAATATTGTACGTTCCTTTCATTAAACATTATTATTAACATAATTTACAACATTAAACAACATTTATTAACATAAACATTTAAGAACAAATTGGAGTGACAGTACTTCAGATGCATCTGACGGAGAAGACATTACTTATGTTGATAATGATAATATTAATAACAATAACAAAGAATCTAATGATAATAATAAATAATAAAAATAGAACGGCTATATTGACTTTTTATTTAAAGTTCTGTAATAAATAATGTCATAATTCATTTTTCTATAATAAACAATGTTTTGATGGTTTTTAATGGTTAAATTCAATGATATTCATCTTGTCATATCGCTATTTCGTCACGTACATTATATTGCAGCCTTGCGTCGAAATTTTGGTCGAGGAAAAAAGCGCGAGCGTCGTTTGTTTACAAACTGTAAGCGATACTTGAAGTAATCACGCGACACGTACGATGCACCACCGATGGGTACGTACATCCACTGCCGACACTATTATCAAAATAGCAATAGCGATACCGGTAATTACGTAAATGTCCACTCGAAGTTATTTATCAAGGATCTGTCAGGATCAAAAGGCAGGACGGTATAGAAGGTGCAAACACAATAACACTATAATGATATTTATTAATATCGTTAACACTCGCGTACATACAGCAAGGTAATGATTACCGAAAAACACGGACGTGTTGTCACACGGACTACTCAGACGGCAATTGTCCGGCACGCATGCCGTGACACGCTCAAGGATCGCCTATTGCATCCAGTGCTGCCAGTCGGGCCGGGTTGCCCCTCCAGTCCCTTCCAAAAACCAGGCTATGCCCAGTAACGTATTGTAAGCGTGCGGATCCCAGTAAATATAAATCTAAATTTTTATTTTTTTGATAACACAGATTGAAGACTAAATTTATGAAGAATAAGATAGGATAAAATAATTATTTAAAAAAGGAATAGGATGAGAATAATTAGTAAAAAACATTCTTGTATAATTATAAAGAAATACTTTATTTGGCAGAAATTATTAAGAATAACATTTGTTGCAAGGGTAAGGAAAACTGCCAAAAACCTTACCAGTATCTGTCTGTTCACTGGGATTGCGCCAAAACTGCACCCACAACACGTTACTGTGGTTACCATGGTTACCGTGCGCGCGGCCTAGCCTTGGAGGGGCAACCCGGCCCGACTGGCCTGATTGCATCAGCTAATCCTGATTGGTCCTAATTAAAGATATTCCTACGCCTAGGACGCTAGACGCAGCGCATTAGATAACTCGCGCGTGGTCGCGAGGACCGCGGGAAAGGATCGCAGTGACGCTCAATCGGCGGCGCTGCATCGCGTTGCTTACAGTTCGGCCAGTCTGCATCTACATTCGACCCGAATGTGTTCTGACCCTGAAGGGTTTATAAAATAAACATATTGCAGAAGCCTAAAATAAACAGGAGCAGGTTAATAACCATATAAAATTTAAATCATAAAAATTAGAAAAACAAAACCTGCGTAAAGATAGGACACGATAGTGTACCAAAAACAAAATCAAAAATTACACAAGTAACAAAGAGAGAATCCCGAAATATAAAATATAAAATATCTGCTTTAGCAGAAACGCTGATATACTTAACTTAAATACAAAAGTATAAACGCTAAAGTTTAGATCTAAAGAAACGCAGTCTTAACTCAAAATACAAATTTAAAACTACAAACTAAATAACTGGTTTGACCCACGGTTTGATCCGATCGGGAGATAGTATCGAGTTATAAGGGCGAGAAGTTATATTAAAACCAGGAATGTCCTGTATCACGTAACGGTTATTATTTAAAACTTTTGTAACCTGGTACGGCCCTTTATAATTCGTTTTAAATTTTTTGTCCTCTCCGGGTTTGACTATTGTATCGCGGATGAGAACGTAATCCCCGACGTTATACTGAGTGGGTTTACGATGACGTTTATCGTAATAAACTTTGTTGTAATCGCGGATCTTATTTGAGACCTCAGAAGCGATTTCACGACAAGCGTCTCTTTCCTTGTCACAATCCAGCTCGACTTTAGCGGTCTGATTCAAAATACGCACAAGATGTGCATCGGAATGATTCCGAGCATCATACCCTAAAAGAAGTTTAGAAGGGGTTGTCTTTAGTGAAGAGTGATAGGTGTTATTAATGACGTACTAAATGGTTCCAATTTTAGAAAACCATGACGTCGAATCATTAATAGCTTTTTTGAGCGATGATTTTAAGAATCGATTGATTCGCTCTACAAGACCGTTGACCCAAGGAGCTGCAACAGCTACTAAGCGATGTGAGATGTTTTTAGAGTCTATAAACTCAGAGAATTCACGAGAAGTGAAAGCTGTTCCTCTGTCCGAGACAATTAAGGAAGGATTCCCAAAAATATCGAAAACTTTTGTGAAGTTTTTTATCACCTCTTTAGATCCTGTTGATTTGATTGGAAACAGCCAGGTGAAACGAGTGAAGGCTTCGACTAAAAGCAAGATGTGCTTATGACCTTCAGATTCGGTAAGAGGACCGAAATGATCACAATGCATGATCTGCATTGGATGCGATGGAGTTTCTACTTGCTGAATTTTCCTTCACGAGAATGAACCGATGAATTTGAAATCAGACAATCTAGACAATTGTCCAGATAATCGCGAATTTTTTTACGGAGGGAAGAAAACCAGTAATTTGATGAAATTCCTTCGACCGTTTTATCAAAGCCACAGTGAGTTTGCTCATCGTGATAAATCCGAATGATGTTCCGAATTATGGATTCTGGAACGACAAAACGAGATTTGTCTGGTCCTTTTTTGAGAGTCTTGAGATTCTCTTCCACTGTTTTGGAAGGTATTAATCAGTTAAGTGGTAATGTATCATATATGTACAAAAAAAAGTGCCAAACGTGGTAATGTATCATATATGTACATTTCTAAATAACTCCACTAATTTTCAACAGATTTGCACAAAACTTGATATCCTAAGGTTTTTTGGGCTGCTGAATTCAAATCTGTTGTCAAAATTGCAAAATTCAAAATGGCGGATCCAATATGGCAACTATTAATTGTTAAAACGACTAAAATATTGGAGTTAGGTAAAATATGTATAAGACCTTATTTGTAAAGTTTTTTATGAGCTTTATTTTTTGTTTGACAACTTTTTCCATGCAATCAATACTTTCTAAAATAATGAACAAAAACAGTTTTATTTTTGAACCTTTGAGGGGGGCTGGGGGGCGGAGGAGGCATTTGCGCCAAAAATCTATTTAGGAATATTATTTACTAGACAAAATAAGTATTTAAGCTAAATATAAGCCAAATCGGAGGTGATAGCTTTTCGGAAGTCCACCCCCCTTTTTTGATTCCTCCACTTTTGACTGGAAAGTCGTAGTAAACATTTTTATAAATCATTGTCCTTATCTTGAAACGCCTTTTCAAATGATCCCCACTCGACCCATAGTGCCATTTAACATTTTCCACCGCTATTCTGCCTCCCCCGCCCCCAGGGTGGAGGGGGGGTGGGATCCACATCTATTTCGAAAAGTTGCTTTTTCGAAAACTTTGAACCCATGTTTCACCGTTTTTCGATATTTTAATTTTTGGCTCTTACCACTTTTGGCACAAATCTTTCGGAAAAGTCTACCACTCAACTGGTTAATATATCGTCAATATAGACGATGACTTCGTCCTTTCGAATAAATGGTTGTAAAACGTGTACGATACTTTTTTGAAATTTTGCAGAAGCTTCACAATATTCGAACGGAAGCTTCTTAAATTCGTATTGTCCATCAGGCGTCGCAAACGAAAAATACTTCGTATGATCTGGATGGAAACGTCTATCTGATGGAAACCATCTTTAAGGTCGAGTAAGGAGAAAACCGATCGATCCGATAACCGCGAGAGACAATCCTCTAATTGTGGGAACGGATATTTTTGTTTCTCTACCTGATCGTTCAAAAGCCGCAGGTCAACGCAGAGACGAAGAGAACCGTTCTTCTTTCGCACCGGAACAACCCGCGCACAATACGGCGATGAACTATACTTAACAATATCTCGGGTTAACAAATCATCGATTAGTTTAAACATCTCTAAACGCTCATTAAACGCGAAACGTCTTGGCGCAAACGCATATGTTAAGTGATCTTTCAAGGTTACTTTAACCGAGTAATTGTCCTTTATTGACGTGACCTGAGAATTATCAACCTCAGTCAACACAGTTAACAAT